TCACCCCAAACAATTCAATTATCTATAATATCTTACTTGAATTGCATATCTCAGCAGCTGTTTTAATAAGACAAGTTAAGGCATCTTAACATTTGATATATTTTATGTTCATTATTTTACAGAAACGAATATTTTATCATTTCAATATTCTTATTTAGTGCATTTTTTATTATTTTTTTTATTTTTTTTATTTAGGAAACTTGTAGAAACTTTTATGAATCTATCTTTTAAATGAAAGTAAAACCCCTGGCTAAAAAGACTTGTGAAAAGGATTGAAAATAACCATCTGAAACCTTATGAACTATGAAAATTACTTCTGGTAATTAGCAGAATTATTATTAATTATTATTAAAATACACCTTTAAGTGCTGAATCCAGATGCGTCGTCAGTGTTGTTGTTCCCATGTCACTAGAAGTTTCGGGTCTAAATAAATAACAGACTTCTTCGATGGGCGACCCGACCGAATATGATCAGTATTCGGCCCGCACCTAGAACAAAAATTTGCCACTAGCTTTAGGACGTGAATTATATAAGTTGCCCCGGCAAACAACAACCAATCAAGACTTCATTTGGGCTATTCGAAGTTATAAATTAGGTATGCATGGTTGTAGTGATCTTCCTACTTGCGGCCAAGAATGGGTGTTTTTTGGAAGAATAGAAAAAAAACAAACCAATACTCATAAATACATCTACATGTACATATATATATATATATATATATATATATATACATATATACACACACAAAAAAAAAAAAAACAAACGATTTATTATATTGGCTCGTCTTGCGAGTTGTTCTTTCTCTACCTCCCCTTTTAACTAACTTATTTGTTTGGTCTTTCTTTTCTTTTTATTTTTCTTTCCTTTTCTAAACTACACTTAGTAAAATGTTTACAATAGAGTGGTTAAAAAGACAGACTATTTACAACTTTAAAAACTAAAAGGAAAACATTTGACTAAAATCGCTTAAAAATAAATTAATCAAACTATTTACATGTTAAGTATTGGTTAAAAAAAAAAAAACAAAAAAACACACACGTGTAAATTTTAAATAATTTAACCCCCCCTCCAAAAAAAAAAATTATCCTTACCGGAAAGAATTTGTTTAAAAACCAAGAGAAATAACTAAAATTTCTCAAAATAAATATTAGAGAAAAAGATTATTTTCAGTTGTGGGAAGTTTAGCTATGAGAACTAAAGAATTTATGGAAAACTACTAGAGGGGGAAATATATTAACTTGGAAATGCTAATTCCTGCAAAGATGGTTTTAGATGCATATTGGGTTGTAAATCTAGAAACCAATCCTTACCCAAGCTTTTCACTGACGGGCCAATGATTACCCTACATTGCATTTTGATTTTCACTCTTGGTGTGCACCAGAAGCTGGTAAAGTGCTTGCTGTATGCTCACAAGCTAAAAAGATGAAAGACAAATGCCATGTTGAGAAATAAGAATACTAACTTTGTTTCCCATATCATATATAGATTATTATTTAGGGCTCCATTTGCTCACCTGGGTGTGTAGTTAGGAGATGCTGTGGACAACTTCCATTCAATCTCATAGATCAGCTTTTCTCCTTCGTGTCCATCTACATGTCCCAATGTGTGGCTGGCAATGCGAACAGGTAGCACTGGAACTATATGATGGGAATGTCCCTCTCCTCCACCAAGAGAGGACCAGAACTGACCACCCATATCCCATACATGACTTAATATAGGCAATCATCTGGAAATAATCAAAGTCTGATTTGTTATAGCTTAGTTTCCAAAACCCCCTTATCTGCTCCGTTACTTTATTGCTGCTTGGAAGAGTTAAAAAAAGAACCATCTGCTCGCCATAAGACACTTACTCAAGATAGAGATAAAACCACATTTTCCTTTTTCTATATGAATGTCCATAGTATCACAGTTATAACGTATTAATAATGTCGTCTGAGTTTTTCATTTTCAGTGATATTTTCTATAAGCTTTGGAGATGCTGCATAAATCATTTTTTTGCTCCCATTTTCTTGATGAATGTTCTCATTTCTGCTCTCAGTTTCACAGCTGAGGATTTGTTTGGACGAATCGAATCAAAACATTCATTCACTGCTGCCAATGCTTTCAAATATGATGCATGGCATGCACTGGTAATTACTCGTGAACACCATCCCCTCAACTGGAGTGAAGATGTCTTCTTGGATGCCATGTCTGTAGCTATGCAATGGTAAGTCTTTGAAGCTGTTTTTGTTTTTTTTGTTTTTTTTTTTTGTTTTTTTTTGTTTTTTTTTTTGTTTTTTTTTCTCTCTCTCTCTATTTCATTGGAAGATATATTTTTATTTATTTATTTTTTTAAGGCCATGTCCTTGCAGGATGTTGATGAAAATGACTCTGTACAGACTGCTTTTTTTTATCACTAAGTTGCTAGGCATTCTTAAGAATGATAGTGGAGTGGTTTTCTGTTGCTTTTTACAGTCTTGAATTTAAATTTCTTTTTTTCCAAGACTTTTTTGCCACCCAAGACTAGCAAGTCCAGTCTACACTGCTATTCAACCTTTAGCTGGAGAGAGAAAAAACATTCATGCTTTTGCCAAGGGTATTAACTCTTTCTTCCCTGGTGGTCTAGTTTAATTTCTGCCCTAAGCATCATTCTGACATTGCTTCCTTAAGCCCAATGGTGAAAATTGATAGTTATTTAACATGCTCATACAAAAATTGCTCTAAGCTTATAAACAATAAAGAAAAAGTCTATTTCTTGCTTGTCAGCCTCTAGAATATTTACTGCTCCAGGATTTCCTCTGAATGTGTCAACATCGACTCCTGAAAATCAGTTGCTCCATTCCAATGTCAGCTCATCATCATCACTGCTGTTGTTTTGTTTTCAGATTAAATTTGTCAGTGATACATCATTATCAGAGTTAAATTCTGAGATTACATCAATATTTGATAAATTGTCTTCATTTTCCACATGTATCTCAAACAGTTTTTGTGCTCCAGCTATATCAATTTCAGTGAATCCTTCAAAAATATCATCACTTTTACTATTGCTTGTTTATAAAACTTTTCATTCAGTAAATAGCTTGGTTCTCTCAAATCTAACTACCTGGATCCTAAAATTATCTATAAAACATTCCCTGATTGGTTTTAAACAAAAACTAGCTTCCTAAATCATCCAATCATAGAGCATTTTACATCAGAAACAAACCTACCAGAAAGCACTACTTTAGGTGTGATCTGATTGCAGGAGTAAAACATAAACGACGACTACAATTGGGATATGATGCTGAATATATTTTCATGTCATGACTAGAGTTGGAGTCGTGGGGGTGGAGAGTTAATGTGAAAATGAGCACAACAGACTAGCTTGGAATTTGAACACTAACTGCCAATTCCACTTTCTGTACAAGTCAGTTAAGTGCCACACATGATACACACTTGGGCAATCATTTATCTTTCAATACATAACTGATGAGGCAGATTTTTCTCGCAGTCGGTTGCCATTTCTTTCTGCAGTAGATTGGTTGCCAACCAAAGCTAAAGAAACCAGTCTGTCCTGCTATTTAACCCATAACCAGAGGGAGAAGGAAGATTCATACCTTTCACAAGGGCTTTTGTACACAAGTAAATGTAACAAACTCCACTAGAATTTGAACTCGGCTCTCTGAGTTCTCATTCTGAACAGATATCCATGATGCCACAATGCAAATTCCATACAAACTAGTCATATAACATCATGTACATCTGTGATATATGTTTTAGCTGTTTGTAAAATATATACACAGAGCTTAAAATACGTAAGCTTATTTTAGTTTTGTAGCAGTATATCTTGAAATGCTAGGAAATCTTTTGGCGTTTTATTAGTGTGAGGCTTTCATTTTGACTGGCACTATTTGGTAGATTATATCAACCTGATTGACTTCAACATACAATGACTTTAGTAATCCACAAGCTTTATTACAAGATACATATGCGGCTTTAATGACATTTCCTGCAAATATATCTTTAGTAAACAGTATGATTTGTAAAGAAAATGAGAAATTAAATTCTATATGCAAAGTTTGTTTTCATGTTCAAAATATTTCCATCCTGTGGCCAACTCATAATAATAGATGTTATTCATTTTATAGTTCATTTTAAAAATTTTCTTTTTGTGAGCAAAAGTTGTTTTTTTTTATTAGGATGTTGCAATCATCATTCCAGCCATTATTAAGCCATATAGATTGGAAATAAAGAATAACTTTCAGTTGCAAAACAAACTTTGGGAATCCTGCCTTGTCTAGAGCAGTTGCCTTTATAATTAAGCCATAAAGAACAAACATTTACAGAAGTTCAAATATCACCATATAGCCTTAAATTCTCATGAACCCCTGATATATCACTATTTTTGTTTTGGGGTTAGATTTCAATGTCTGATCTTTTTTGCTTTCATCAATAAGGTTGGTTTTTTGAGGAAAAATGATACAAATTCAGACCTAGCCAGTTTTATTCATTTCTGATACAAACTATTTCTACAAATGATTATAAAAATATTAAATTACATAAAAAAGATTTCTCTTTCCTCTTTTAAACCAATTATTAATATGATCACAACATAAAGAAGATAAAATTATTTTTATGTAATGTCCGTGATATAAATTCCAATGTATATCACCTGAAGGAGGCCAGAGTGTACAACGGTTGAAACATTGTGAATATGACATTAAAGATGAGGACAATTGTTTGGACAATGTAAATAGTATAAATAGTTACAATACCTCATCTCAGAAATATAGACAAACCTTTGAGAAATATAAAACAAATTCAACAGTGAAGTTTAAATCACTATGACTCTCTTAACCCTTTCCCCGCTAATTATTTTCGGGAAAAACATTTCATTTTCAGACAAATTTTTTTTATTTGTTTTTAATATAGTATTTTTTATGCTAATTATGAAAAATAACTTTCATTTCAATTTTTTTTTTCATTTTTATGATTGAAGTTATATTTTTTCAGTAAAGACATGTAAACACGTCTCCCCATAAACTGTATTCTTTACCATATTTTTTTTTAATTATATAATTTTATTACCAAAAATAAAGGGAAATGGAAAACCTATTTTGTTTTTATTTTTTATTAAATTTACTAGTGAAAATATAACAAAATAATTTACAAATATAAATGAATGAAACTACTTTTTGTAGCATTTTATGAATTATTTGGAATTATTTTTTAGCAAAAAGTAGCACAAATTACCTTTTTATTTGCAAATATAAATGAATACAATTTGTCTGTCTCTCAGAAGGGCATAAAAAGAGTCAAGATCAACTTATAAACATGCCTGTAGCTTGTTTTTGAACATTATGTTTTGGACATGTTTATTCATCTGTGTCTGAAAAAGACACTTTGAATAAAAATGTATATACTTGTCTACACTTGGGATGGAGTTAAAAAAAACAAAAAAAACTGGTTCTATTTATATTAAAAAATGACTTGCTGTGCTGTAAAGACTGTCTTTGTTCACCCATCCCAGGAATAAGGTTTAGGTAAGAAGAAAAACATTACTTGTCTTTGGCCTTTTTAACTTTTTTTTTGTTTTTTAATTATTGTTAAAATATCAAATTTAAAGATGTACAATAAAGAAAAATCACAAGATAGGAATGGCTTAATTCTATATGCACATCACATTCATTATCCAAGTTGAATGTGTCATTTCACTTTCAACTTCATACCCTTTAGTATTCACCATGCAACTCCCACCCCGTAAGTATCAGCTTTCAAAGTCTTACTGTTTGTGTAACTTCCTGCATTATTTGCAATGATGTCGTCATTTATTATGGCAGAATATACATGGGGTGGGCGATGGTAGATTGAACATTGAAAGCCGATATTTACAGTGCAGGTTGATTGCTAAAAGGTTAATGAATGAATGAATCCTTTGAACATGGCTAATCTATATCTTTTGTAAATTTGTTTTCCTCCAGAGGAAAAAAATCACAAATCACTTTGTCTTACTTCATGTTTATTCTACTTAAACACTTACCTGAACATTTTTCCCCACTTATGTTAATCATTAAAAATCTTTATTATTAAAAATAAAATCTTTTCTTTTACAGGTATGATAAAGTCCACTCTGTAGATATTCGTTATAAGCTTCCGACGCTACTGTGGGATCTCTTGCCTCATGCCAGTGCAAGTCAAGTTCACCCTCATTTGCATATAAATCTTCTCCCTGATCGTTACTATGGTATGTCAATTTAAAATAAATGTGTATGTGGTCAAATTAGTACATTTTTTTTTTTTTTTTTTTAAATGTCGACTTTGATATTGCTAGTTTTAGTCTCAGCAACAACTCTCAATGTACTAATATTTTATTTCTAAGATGATGTTATTTATCTGATCTCCCTCACTAAAGAGTTTGGTTTTTGTGAGGTGCATATGCATACAGACCAAGGAGAAAATTTACTGAGTCCCTGTTACCATTGTCACACTGGCATTGATATTACAATGACCCCCCCACCTCTCTTGGTGCAATGAGGAAGGTGTTACTGCAGAGATGGAATCCCTGGGACGGGGTGCCTTCTCCCGGATACTATGCTTTCATCCTGGCCAAAAGGCCAAGAAGCAATTTCTAAGAATGATACTTTACTATAAATTGAAAGCAATTCTACATGAGATATTAAGCAATTAAAAAAAAAAAAAAAAAAAAAAAAAAATTAGCAACTGACTAACCTGAAACTGATATATAACCTCTGATACTGCCTTTTTAAAATGTTATTTTTTATGTAAATAAACATACCTGTATGTACCAGTTCTCATTTTCCGCAATGATTTGTTAAGTAGCAATTTTCACAAATGTAGGTACTTTTTTTCTTTTTTTATCATCATCATCTTGGTTTTCTGAAGAAAGTATTTGTGAATGATTTTGCAACAGAAAATACTATATTACATTATTTACATTATTCGGACTATTGTCCTCATCTTTGTCGTCATAGTTATCACAACGTTTGGCCATTATGCGCTCTGGCCTTCTTCAGGTGGTTGGAATTCTTCCCTTTATTTTAGTTGGGGTGAACTGTTCCTATTTCCATGTGCCGTTTGATGGATTTCAGTTATCTCCTTTATTTCCCTCAAGCTCACTGGGGTAACGGGTTACTGTGAACTTCCATTGTGCCGTGTTTGATGGATCTAGTTCAATGCCTTCTAGACTTTCCCTCTGTAAGTTGATCTCCATCCATCAAACATGCACGTGGAACCAGAACTCAATCCCAGTGAGCGTAAATAAAGGGTTCAGTGGATCTAAGAATGCCTTTATCCACTGATAAATGTTGTCCATCAAACATGTCCTCAAGATGATACAATAGTCTGAATAATCTAAATAATGTACATAATAATCCTCATCTCAGAAATATAGACAGAAAATACTATCTAAATGAAAATTAAATAGTCAGTCACAAAGCGCTTGGTAAACTAATCAAATTTCTGTAGACACTAAGCTCTTTTTGAAAGGGGAATACTTAGCTTATTCCAGCTGTCATATTGTAAGCATCCACAAGTGCAATCTTGTATGATTACCTTATGAAAATTTATGGCTGGTCTGAGGGTGCTGAATGTTTCTGTGCCAGTTCTGAATATAGTAACTTAGAATTCACATTGAAATGCCTTCAGTTCAAATCTGTCAGTTAAGTGCCATATGTAATACACGTTTAGGTGATCAGGTCTTTTTCAATTCATGAATGATGAAGCAGAGATTTTACCATAGTAGGTTGCTATTTCTTTATGCACTAAACTGGTTGCCAACCAAGGCTACATGACCCAGTCAGTCCTACTATTTAAGTTACAGCTGATTGGAGAAGGGTACTTGCATGTAAGTGAATGTAACGGACCCAGCTGGAATTAGAATTCTGCTCTCCAAATTCTCATTCCAAGCCAATATCTATTATGTCAAAATGCACATTCTTGTTCAAATTTACTGGAGCAAAATACACAGTATTAAAAAAAAATAGATAAAAATGAAACCATATGTAATGGCTATTTTGTCTTAATGTGAAAAACAAATTAAGACCTTCAGAAATTTGAATCCTTTCTCATATCTTCTGTTGTATTTGTATACCTTTTTAAAATGGTGCTTAGAAAACCTTGCAGTTAACAAAAACAACAAAAACTGTTTTTATTCATTTACCTGTATTATTTCAGGTGTCATTGAAAACTGGCGTATTGCAGCTGAACATTATAATAATGACTTCCCAGGAACAAATTATTTTACTGAACTTCTAGACCTCCATTCACTGTTGGGCCTTGCCATCCATTTTAAAACTGCAGCAGCTTTTGCTAATATTGTGAGTGTTTTAAGTTTTACTTCATTCATTGTTTCTTAATCAAATGCCTATTTTTAACACAAAAAATATTAAGAAACAGGAAAATTTCATTAGAAATACGATTTCTCACCTCTTTAGAAGATAAACAAATAAATTTCTTTCTTTTAAGTCCACTTAGTTATCTGAGTTTTGTAGGAATTTTGTCTCCATTCCATCTTTGAGTAAACTTGTCAGACTTTGTGAATTTATGTCTACAGCTGCCTCTGAATTGGGAAACATAAAATTTTCATCAATGATTTTAGATAGTCATAAAAGTAGTCTTTTGAAGTTGACCACCCCAAAAGCTGAATGGTTAGTCTCAAACCTTCCAGAACACAAGTGGATGGATAGATGAGTGGGAACCCAGCCATTATCACTATAAGCAGAGAAAAGCAGGTCATCTAGGAGGAAGGGGGTCCAGCAGTGAGAAATGTTGGTAGCTGCCCAGTGGTCGGAATTTAGTAAGATAGCAGTCCGCTTGTCGAAGCTGAAGGAAGGATCCCATGGCAAAGTGAGAAGTTGTATTGTTGTCAACTGCCAACCAGTGTCTTTAAAAACAATTGTTGTCATTATTTTTTGTTGAATGCAATCATGGCCAAGAAAACAAATTTGTGAACATAGCAAAGTCGGGTGTATGTGCAAATACAGCCAATATGTCAACATAGGTGCACTGAATGATGGATGAGTGGAGAATGTTGTCACAAATTTCATGACAAATGTTGCCACAGACAAAAAAAAAAAAAATGTTGCCACAGACAAAAAAAAAAAAAAAAATGTTGCCACAGACAAAAAAAAAAAAATGTTGCCACAGACAAAAAAAAATAAAAAATGTTGCCACAGACAAAAAAAAAAAAAAAAATGTTGCAGACAAAAAAAAAAATGTTGCCACAGACAAAAAAAAAAAATGTTGCCACAGACAAAAAAAAAAAAAAAATGTTGCCACAGACAAAAAAAAAAAAAATTGCCACAGACAAAAAAAAAAAAAAAAAATGTTGCCACAGACAAAAAAAAAAAAAAATGTTGCCACAGACAAAAAAAAAAAAAATAAAAAAGGTGCTGAACTACTTTGTAATATTAATCTTCCTATTTGGTAGTGAATGCTGGAAAATTTCTTCACAGATGAAGAGAAGATTTAAGGCAACAGATGTCGTTCTACAGAAGGATGCTGAGAATATGAGGGTTGGCTAAAAAGTTCAAATGCTGACCAAGAGACTTTCATGGTATGTGACCAAATGAAGTTTATTTTTCAACATAGCTCCCATTGTTCACACATTTCTTCCATCAATGTTGCAGTGCTTAGATCACATTGGTGAAGAAGCTTTCATCCTGTTGGTTAAAAAAGTTATCAACAGCAGATATGACATCATCATCACTGGGATACTGGTATTTTTTTAATGTTGGAAAACAGATGATAGTCAGACGGGGCCAAATCAGGAGAATAAGGAGGGCAATCAATCAGTCACACACAGAAGCCATTGAAACCAAGGACTTGTATGCTGGAGCATTGTCCTGATGAAACAAGATCCCTTTCATCAATTTTCCTGGGTATTTGGTCTTGATAGACTTTCATAACTGTCTCAACAAGTGGGCATGGTGTTCTCTATCAGTAGTGTAGCCCTTTTGAAGATAGTCAATAAACACAATGCCTTTTGCATTCCTATAAACTGAGGCCATCACTTTCCCTGCAAATGAAATGACCTTGGCCTTCTTTGGAGCAGGTGAGGAGAGATGTTTCCATTGCATGGATTGTCTCTTTTGACTCTGGCTTGAAGTGATAAACCCAACACTCAGCATGAATGTCCTTAGGAACTAAACCCTTTTTATGTAGGCACTTCGTCCATTTCCTAGAGAAGTCACTACTAGTAACTTTTGAAGTCTTCTTTAAAGAGTCAGATGTAACTTTACTGGAAAGAAACAATGCAGGAAGAGCTGAAATTAATGCATACAAGATTTCACAGCTCTAGCATCACTCCTTCATTGTCTTTTTGGCCTATGGATGGAACATGTAAGCAGCAATGCAGTTTTAAGAAAAATGGGAACAAAAAGGACACTTTTACTTAAAATCAGAAAGACAGTTGACATTTCTGGGACACAATGAGAGAATGCATGGAGAATTTGACACTTAAGACATATTGAAAGCATAAGTAACAAAAGGAAATGGCAACTAAGCTTTGTTCAATGGATGGCAGAACAGGGACTTGGGAGGATAGAAAGAGGACAAACATTATTATTATTATTATTATTATTATAGCTACAAAAAATAGAAAGTTGTGGAGAGCCACAAATAAACCCTGTGCAGTAAAATATATTGAAATGAAGATATTTATTATTTAATGTAATTTAATCAAAAGAAGAGTTTTAATGAAAATTTGACTCCTACCATTTTAAATATCTATTTTATTTATTTATTTTTTTTTTAATTTTAAATATAAATTTGGTAAATGTTTCTCCAATGACATTTTTATTAAGAATAAATTTGAAATTTGAATTCTATTTACATGGCATTTTTATTCTTCAGACTCCAAAAAAAGATAATGAAATTGTGGTTCTTGGACAGGCACCAAATGAAGATTTCTTTAAACTGTTGTATTATGTCCTACGAGGTAAGTCAAAGATACCAAGATTGGTCAAATACTAATGCCTTTTTGGTAGATTTAGTAATAGAAGCATACAGTGCATGCCAAAATGTACCAAAAAAAAACCTCAAGATTTCAAATCTAACATAGTCTCTTTCCGTCTAAATCTTTTGAATGTGGACATGTTTATCACATTACAATGGCTGCTTTCTTAGCCATTAATAAATTGCCTCATTTACCTAATCATTAGTCACTGTACTCAGTGCTGCCTTCATCTGTGTTGTTCAGCTCAAGAAGTACTTGGATAGCAACCTCCTCTCTGTTCCTTCATGGAGTCGGCCAGCATTATAGGAACCTGATTTGTACAGACATTTGAGTTTCCAAGAGACTGCAGGCCCTTAAGGCCACATCACATTGAAACACCAGTTCCTGTATGATCACTTGAAGTTAAGCAACATTGAGCCTGGTCAGTATCAAGATGGGTGACCACTTGGGAATACCAGGTGGTGTAATGTATAATGGGTCTGAATTGTTAATCAGAGAGCTGAGTTCTAATTCCAGTTGGGTTTATATTCATTTATGTGCAAATGCCCTTGGAAAAAGTATGAATCCACTTCTTTGCCCCCCTAGCTATGGGGTAATTAGTAAGACTTTAATCAAGAGACCATTTCCCCCCCCCAAAAAAAATTCATACAATCTAAAAAAAAAAGTATTTTCTGACTTTGAATAACCTGCAACAGGTTGATAAACCATAGAAAACAAATCAATCAATATAGACTGCAGGTACTACCATGGCTTGCCTGAAGGCTTTTACAGATTTTTGCAATAATTTTTCTTTCAGCTGTAATGAGAGCATCAGCCTGTTTGGTTTTATTCTCATTTTTAGTAGCAACTGTCCTGCCACTGTGGGCCCTGTCCCTCAGTATAACATTCAAGGAGCCCCCAATATATCAGAAAAAGTGGAGAAGAAATTTGAACTTATTCATGAGGACAGTTGCTGAACATCTTGGCCTGTGCTTTGGGCTTCATGATGAAAATGCAAATGATATCACTTCCCTCTTAAGAATGCTCTCTGGCAATGAAAATTGAATTTACATTATTTACTAGACTTATGGTGTACTATTTTTTATTTTATTTTTTAAGGCCCAGTCATGTAATTTTTTGATACCACCTCATAATTAGGTAAATAATAATATTCAGCTGATTGAATTATTCATACTTAGAGATATATATCTCAATCAAAAAAGATTGAGATATGTTTTAAAATTATTTTTTGTAATCAGAATTTAATCATTTCAGTCTGCAGTTATCATAACCCAATTGTCTAACAGAGGTTGTTTAGTTGTTAGCCACATTGCTTGTTTAGTTGTTAGCCACATTGCTTGTTTAGTTGTTAGCCACATTGCTTGTTTAGTTGTTAGCCACATTGCTTGTTTAGTTGTTAGCCACATTGCTTGTTTAGTTGTTAGCCACATTGCTTGTTTAGTTGTTAGCCACATTGCTTGTTTAGTTGTTAGCCACATTGCTTGTTTAGTTGTTAGCCACATTGCTTGTTTAGTTGTTAGCCACATTGCTTGTTTAGTTGTTAGCCACATTGCTTGTTTAGTCATTGAGTATAAGATGTGATTATTTTTTTTTTTTTTTTTTTTTAGAGAGAAGTGTACCTAATATGATAGGAAATACAATAGTTTAGCAGTCTTAATATGACAATCTTTAAATTAAATCATATATCAAGAACAATATTAGGGAAAGTGTATGACAAAGTGGAAAAAAAAATTTTAAATTTCTCAGCCTCCCTCATTTGTGCGCATGTGTAGTTGCACCAGCATAACAAATTTATTCCGATGAAGTCCTAAAGGATGAAATACGTCACAAGAAAACCTTTTTCCACTTTGTCATATATATATATATATATATATATATATATATATATATATATATATATATATATATATATATATATATATGGCTTTTACCCTTTGCCTGTCCTGTGCATTATTTGTGATTTCCATGTCTGTGCATCATATGATGCACATAAGGTATGATTTTATAGAGTCGTAAAACTAAGGACACTTAAGGAAAGAGTCTCCTATTGAGCAGGATGCCTGAGGAAATTCCTAATCTAATATTTTGTGCATCATATACAACAACGGGACACTTACCTGCTGCCAGATTTATAATTACTGCAAGGCATCTTGTCTTATTTGGCAAATAGAATGTGCTGATATATAGCGTTTTCCACAATAAAAATGTGATGCACAGAGCTTATTGTCAATAACTTATGATTTGTATGTTCTGGGCATCACATGTGATGCACAGGATTTTATCATATGAAACACTATTCTATTTGCCAAATAAGCTCAGTTGTCTTGCAATATTTATAAATCTGAAAACAAGCATGAATGTTTGAATAGTACACACAAAAATGCCCTGGACAGGCAAAAGTTTAAATGTTATTTTTAAAAAAAATCTATAAAATTGTTGGACAGAGGGAATGGTATTTTATTGATTTAAGAAATTTGATGTCGGTGATGTGTGTATGTAACTGGTATAAAACTCTGCATCATCCTCTTAAAGACTATTGATGACACTAATCAGAAGAAGTCTATGAATTGATTGCTACAAAATATTTTTTGAACAGTTAAACAAGTGATAGTAACAGCATTCATTACATTAATGTTGAATAAAAACTTTCTATAATTTGTTTTCATTGTTTCAGCATACGTAGATGATATGGAAAAACTTTGTTTTAGCATGGCCATTGCATTTCCGAGTTTGGTAAGTATTTTTTTTTTTTTTTTTTTAATAGATAATGATAAATCTAAAATAAAATGCAATCTCAAATTGCCAAACAATTAAGTTAAAAGAATATTGAAGAAATTTGTCCCATACAAAGAACTGAAACAAAGTGAACATAAAGCATGTTAAATTTTACAGTCTTTTACAAATATAACTATTCACTTGTTACTCGGTTTCAAGTTGGTTAACTTCATTTTAAGCTTAACTGTACCATTGGGCTATGTGCTCTCAGGTTTTATTCTGTAAGTAACTGTTTTCATGATATAATTATTAATTACTTACCAATTCTGGTAAAGTTTTCTGGATATATATGAGCAATACATTGTGCGAATTTTAGTTTATAATATCTAACTTTTAATAAACAAAAAACTTATTTTGAGGTGGTAGGTTTTATAATGCAAACAAAGTGCATCATGATTTATTTATAAATAAATACAAAAGATAGGAGGTCACAGAAACAGATTTGATTTATACACCAGCCCATATAGCTGAATAAATTATTTTATATCATGATATTGGGTCTTTTTTCAGTCTTTCATTTATTAATTATAACTTTTCTTCTGTTTGGAATTTAACATTACTTGCATCATTGTGTGATATATATATATATATATATATATGGGGTTATGCAAAACTCAAGCATAAAGCAAAAGCGCACAACATGCACATATAGTGACCAAATACAGTGATCAAACCATCTACATACATGCGAGTGTTTGTGGGGCACGAATGTGTGTGTGTGTAATATATACACACACACACATATTGAAAAAAGCAGAACTACTACTCACAGGCATGTACACAAACCCCACACAACTTAGGAAGTATGTGTGTACATATATATATGTGTGTGTATGTGTGTGTATGTACTGATTCCTTGTAATGGGACGATATGTGTGTGTGGGTGTACAGATGTGTTCACTGATTCCTCGTAGTGAGACTGTGTGTATATATGGAGAGGGGATATACATACGCATGCTGACAAAAGCACACAAAAATGGAAATAGATTTAAGAACACACGGGTCATTAAAAGATAAGCATGCCAATAACTACTCCAACATTTCTCAAACTAATCTTAATTGGTTTATAACCCTTCACGCAGAACTTTTCCTTGCCAGTTCAAAAAAAAGAATGTCTCCTATCGAGAATATTTAACATCGAAAAACATAAAGAACAAAATGAATTATTTTTGATATGTGGAAATCTCCACCCTTTACCTGATAACGGTAACAAGACCGGAAACACGTAGCAAAATTATGGAAAATAAAGCATAATATTTTATTTTTAAATCCACATTACAACCAAAAACATTTGCGGTTTCTTATATATATATATATATATATATATATATATATATATATATATATATATAGAGAGAGAGATGTTTCATTGAATAATTCAGACAAATTTTGTTTACTTATCTTCAATTGAATACTTTCATATTCACAGACGAGCATTTTGGTGTCATTATTAAAGGAAGAGAGAAAATCATGTTAATACACGTTTTATTCCAAACCTATCTCCCCCCCCACTGGAGACATAACACAATGTCTTCATCAGAATGTTTATTTCAAGACAAATAGTATAGTCTTCATCATTTCCAAAACAATTGCTGTGTTCATCTGAAAGTTAATTCCTTTTTTTTTTTTTTTTTTTTTTTTTTTTTTTATACTTGTGAAGTGAAGAACACATAGTCAGTACATGATTGCTAGACACCGTTTCAGGGGAGGCAACTAAATATGGTTTGTCAAGTTTTTAAGAAATAGGTATTAAAACTATTAGTGCAAACCTTGATATTTTAAAATATCTATTGTACTCATTTTAAAACATTTGTGTAGTATTCATAATTAATTTTTTAAGGTTTGGTTTAAAGATTTTAATATAGATAGCTTTGAGAAGTTTTATGTTTTATTATTTTCATGAAAAGTAGTTGTATTTTCAACAATTTTTCTGAATTGTGAATTTGGACAGGTATACTGTTGTAAATGTTTAGAAATATTGGACATATCATTCAAATGGAAATTCAGCTGCTGAGGCAATGTTGTTGTAGTGTGTCCAACATAAATATTATTTTTACCATTGGGAATACAATATCGCAGAGGGCATTTAAATTTATAAACAATGTTGGTTTTCTGTAACATGTTAGTAGGTGGGGAAGAGTCATTATGAATGATTGAATTAGATATGCTAGATTTAGTGTATGCATCTATACTTTTTCATAGAAAAAAGTAATATATGTGAATATGAAAAGATCCAATTGAAAATATGTAGACAAAACTTGTCTAAATTTTTAATGAAACCTATTTCAATCTTGACATGCTGTCAAGATACTCTCTCTCTCTCTATCTATCTATCTACCATACATATATATATATATATATATATATATATATATATATATATATATATATAAATTGAATAATATGAACATATGTCAACTTATTTTTATACTGATCCTTTCCAATTGTCTAATCAGTTTCTTGATGTTAAGATGAAATTCATCAAGGAAGGCGCCATCAAGAAACTGTTTAGATAAGTGGAAAGGATCAATATAAAAAAGTAAACGCAATATGTCTATATTATTCAATGAAACTTGTTTGAATGAAGATATGATATATATATATATATATATATATATATACATACACAAATGAGAGAGAGAGATCTTTGTTGTTTGAATATCTCTTCCATTCTCATATACATTTCTCTTAATGATAGACCATTATTTTTTTTATTTTAATATTTGAAGAGGTTGAGGTTATTCTATTATTGTCTTTGAAACCTTATTTTCGCAAGGTGAGCCATAATCCACTTTGCTGACTGCGAAAGAGCATTGTCTTGAATTAATATACTTTAGCTAAAAGCTATTTGTGAAATGTATCAGTTAGAAGAAATACTTGTTCCAGAACTTACAATCATTCTCTGTATTTCTCTTGACACCACCTCTTTGAATAAACCTATAATGTTATTGTCTATAATACAAACCTAACTGTTGTCTTCTAAATCTTACTGATTATCTCCATAGAAGACTCAATCTCCAGCCTTGCCATTATGTCCATCCAATGTAGCTCTACATTCATCAATAAAACCTACTGTTGAGAAATCATTTTGTTTTTGTGTACTTCTTCACTAAAATGTCTCTTAATATTTATCCTGGTAGGTAGCGCGATTGCTTTCATATCTTTAGCCAGGGTTCTTAATATTCTGCGTTTTTTTTCATCTCCATTTATATTTTCATTCACACTTTCTTCAAACATTTTCCTGTTATTCAATCCACTTTTCTTGATTATTACCGAGTCTTTGATCTATTTTTAAATAGGTTTCTGTATTTTTTAATGTTTTATATATTTTTTGCAATATGGTTTTAGTTGGAAGAGGATGTAACAGGCCGCTTGCCCGTCTATGCTCGTTTGATTTCACGAGGAACTGTTGGTGAAGTACGATCAGACATTAGTTCACTTGAACTATTTGCTGTGAGTATATTTAATTCTCTTTAAATTGTCATTTTTGTAAAAAAAAAAAAACTTCTGTGCCTTTTATGTGAATATCAGTGGCTTCAGGAAGTCAATATTTGATGTGACAGTAAGTAGAATGGGATTAGCAGGTTTTGGTAGTCTTTATTGTCTCTCTTTTTTTTAATTGTTATTGAGAGATCTGAAACGACACAGATATGAATTGCTAATAAAATAAACCTGATAGTGTTAGGGGAAAGATTCCATGGGTCACCGTTTGTTGAATAAAAATAAATGAGAGAAAAGATTTTTGTGTGCTCACATAAAATGATGACATTTTAAAAATAAGACGCATAAATTTTAACTGTAATTACTTATAAAATGAAAGTTAGTACTCTTTAACTGTGAGGAAATAAACATGAATAGTCTTTCAGTGAGGAAGAGAGAAAGTGGAGTTGGGAGACAAGATCAAAGGGAGTCTGCTGTTGTTTTGGTAAGAAAGACAGGATGATGAAATTGACTTATGTCTCTTTATTGTTGTCAGTCCTTCTGTCAAGTTTAAAGAATTTTTTTTTTTTTTTTTAATGGGCTCATGTAGGCTCCAGAAGCCTGTGTTTATTCATTGGTGGGAGCTGATTTTATTGGCTATTTATTTTTATTAAATTTAAAATTTGAAATAAGTTTGAAACTTGAAAGGATTCATGGAGCCCTTGTGCGGCATGTTTATTTGTCATTTTCTCCTTTGACCTGATACTGTTCAATTCCACTTACTCTACAATAGTCTACCTCAACTAGTAATAGAACACCATTCTGTAGTATAAAGGCATCATTCACTCAATATTTCTTGAGTTGTACATCACCCTACTCTGTTTAAATCGCATGGCTTTTAGATTGAAAAACCACACCATTCTTTGTAGTGACTAAGTATTATTCATGTTTCCCAACAACCCCTTTATAACATGAGGAGTTAACTGTTAATGCGAAAATGTTAAACCTTAACTTCTTTTTGGTAAGAAAAGAAAAGCAGTATATCTTAAACTCTTATAGGTAAATAATAATGAAAAAAATTACATTGTTCTGACTGTTTTCCTCATCTTTGTTGGCATATTCATGACCTTTCAGCCATTGTATGCTCTGGCATTCTTCAGGTGATTGGAATTTCGAACTGAACCCTGGGCCATGGATAAAAGTGTTGGTTGAATCCAGTGACTTGACTGAAAGTGTTGTGAGTTTAATGCCTGCCTACAGCTGTGGTGAACAGAAAACTTAGTTGAGTTAAAGGGAGATAATTGATATGCAGACATCCTCATGGCACGTTAAATAGTGTAAAAATAAGTTGACATATTTACCCCAGTGGATGAAATAAATAGCTCAGTTTGAAATTCCAATCACCTGAAGAAGGAACTTGTGTACAACAGCCAAGATGCCATGAATATAGCAACAAAGATGAGGACAACAATGTAAATAGAATACCTCATCTCAGAAATATAGACAGATATTAAAAAAAATTTTTTTTGAAATATTCTTTGAAATAAAATTTCTAGCTTTTTCTCTGGAATCAGATACAACTAAGTCAGTTCTATCTGAATACTGACCCACTGGAAGATTTTTTTTTTTGTTATTTCTTCCCAGTATTACACTCACTTTGCTAATACCCTTGGGAAGGGTATTAATCCTCTTCTTCTCTCCTGGCTATGGGTAAATAGCAGGACAGACCGGGTTCTATAGCCTTAGATGGCAATTGGTCTACCACAGAAAGAAATGGCAACCTACTGCGGGAAGAAATCTGCCGCGTCAGTCATGTATCAAAAGATACATGATTGCCTAAGCATGGCACATAACTGTGATCTCTGTAAAAGCACGGTAGAGTTACTTCCCTTAGACCATTCTAGCAAAATAAGACTAAATTTTACCTGATTGAGTTTTCTGTAAATTACATTGTCACCAATTTTGCTTATTTAGAATTCTTATCTGTAAAGACAGTTTAAAACTTATGCAAAAAAAAAAAATTTCATCATAGCTCTAGCAATTATTTCAGATAAAGACGAGCTAGTTACCAAAATTGTTTAACCTTTTATGAAATGTTTAAATGGTATAAATATGATTACCTTTTTGGCATTTATTTTAGCTAATTGTTCTTGGTTATGATGATTAGCAACATGATCTTTCTTAAAAGTGGAGATTAGTGCTTCTTAAATTGGTGCAGGATTCATCCAAGTGAATAAAATTATTTTGAAGAATAGCATTTATATTAGGTATCTCCATGAGATCGCTGGAAAATGAAGTATAGCATGATAAAAATGGCTTTAAACTTGATGAAAGCAAAATTTTATCATCAAAATGTTTGTTACTTTTAAAAGGAAAAAACAAAGTATTTTTAATTATTTTTTAAAAATTTTTTCTGTCTTTTTAGAACAATGTAACTTTTGATTTAAAAAAAAAAAAAAAAAAAGTCTTTGTTTTTCTTTGTTGGCTGAAGTACTAAATAACAGCAAATTTTGTGCATTTTCTTTTAATGAGACATTAATTTTGAAAATCTTGCAAAAATAGAACTAATTGTCAGATTTTACTGAAACTTTCAGTAATGATGGAAATTATTATAAATGTTATAACTTTTCCTCATGTGAGATGTCTGTGTGGTGAAGGCAACATAACTGTTAAGACCAGCTTTCTCTTATTTTAAAGTACATTTTTTCAGCACAGAAAGCAAGTAATGTTTGTTTCAAAATATATTAAATAAACTTTATAATTTCTAATTTTCTTGAATTAAATTTTGAGAAAATTATAATTGATTTTTAAAAAAATTTTAAATGGAGAATTTCGCTTTTTTTTACAAAAGTGAAAAAAATGGCTGATGATTGATTTTGTCAAATTTGCTGATTAAAAAAAAAAAAAAAAAATAAAACAATTTTGAACAAAAATTTTGGATGTTCTAGGAATAATTAAAAAATGTAAAAAAAATATTCAAAAAATACTTTGATCTTTCCTCTTGATAATAACAAACATTTAGGCAGTAAAAATTATTTTCATCAAGTTTAAGGACTTTTTTATTCATGCTATGCTATTTTTTTTTTTTTTTTTTTATCGATCTCATGAACAGAAAGTAATTTCTTGTAAATATACATGATGCGATGGGTAAATTGTCGCCATTTTATATTTTAAATTTCGCTCATGTGTATTGTTTGTTTTTGATTTTGTTGACTGGACAGTCATTTGGGCACCGTCTCTGAGAAAAAGAGCACCATGATGCAATTCACTCCACCAGAAATTAGGAAATGGCATACTGTACTGCTTGGCATTCATACTGGATGCTCCAATATGAACATTTCAGTGTTTGTGTGTCAATCTGAAGACAGTACAGAGGATTTGGAAAGAGCTGGATGATATGTCCCATCAACATCATGGTGTTTGGACTGATCACTAGTGATGGCGATGTCTCGGGAATTCAACACAGAGGCCTACATCATGCTTTGAGAAGATAATGTTGCTCTGGGTAAAGAGGCTGTCTGCTGGAAGACACTATGTCTAGCAACAGGACTCTGCACCATGCTACACAAGCCAGAGAACCCAGTCATGGCTGCCAGATAATTTCTGCAACCTTATATCTGGCCACCAAACTCCCCAGACTGCAACCCCTTGATTATGATGTGTGATTCACAGTTGAGTGAGACACCAACAAAACTCCTTGTAATACCAAAGATAAACTGAAGGCAAGGATTATGGCAGTATTTACTAGCTTAAACAAGGAGACTGTCCAGAAGAGTTGCAGGAGATTCTGAAGTTGTCTGGAGGCCGTGGTTGAAACCAATGGTGATTTTTATTGAATAAATTTGCTCAGTATTTAAAGATATTTTTGTGTAATTTTGGTAAATATATCTGTTAAAATGAGATGTCGGTGTTGTTTTCATTTTTGTATGATTTAGCTGACAATGTATCCATCGCATTCTGTACATAAGAAAATGCTAATCTCGGCTGAAGTATTTTATTCACTTTATGGAAACAAACATTTGAATTTTTACTAATTTTAGGATGTTTAAAAAATTTTTTTTTTGGGTGGGAGGAGCACTTAAGCTTTAATTTGTGTTAAGTTGCCATATATATATATATATATATATATATATATATATATATATAGTAACACTGAAAGGTGTCATTTACTTTTTTTTTTATTTTTATTTTCAGTCTTCAGGACACATGTCCTGAAGATGGTGCTAGATTAGCTAATTAACCAAAATCACGTAAACAGAAAAAAAACAAAATACATCAAAACAAATGTAGCAACATTTGAAAGTACTATAGGAGGTGGGGAAAAACAAAAAATCAAAATGGACTTTGGCAAGTTTATGAATTTATGTATAAAAATAAATTGGAAATTTGAAAGTTAAGAATGGACAGAACTTCTCAATATTATTCAACAAAACTTGTTTGAATGTATCATTGCTGCCTAAATGCACCTTATATATACAGGGTGAAGCAGAAAGGATGGATGTTTTTGAAAAATTCCCAAATTTAATTTTGGCTTCAATACATTTTATTGACATGAGTGTGTTCATATTAGCATTTGACAAAATTAAATCAAGTGTGGAAAACAACATCCCTCATGTGTTGTCTGTTTTCATTGATGCATTTCTGAAGGTGTTCTTATTCAAATTATTACATATTTATGTTACCTGAAGAGTGTGAAAGCATGAAACTTTTTTAGCAACTCAAGCTGTCCTTCGTTGAATGTTGATGTGAGCATTTCTTGCTACGTATAGATTAGATACCCTGCAGGTTGAACACTTTAATTTACTGGGTAGGTAAGTGTTTGCCTTTTGCTTTTTTTTTTTTTTGCTTTTTTTTTTTTTTTTCTCTCTCTCTAAGATATAAGGTACTCTGGCAAGTTTTCTGTTGGTCTTTGCATTGTGTGCATGATATATAGTAATTGGTAGTAAGATAACAATAATAAAGTAGAATAACTCAATGGAAAAAAAATTTCCTGTTTGGGTAAAAACTAAAAGATGGATATATAGAAAGTTTCATAGTCCGAAAATGTGATTACGATTTAACTTCTGAGAAATAGGCATGAAAGGTATTTCAAAAGATTTCAAATATTGTTGAACATAGTATTCTGAAGAGTAAGTATTTATAAGTTTGATAAAATTGAATAAAACTAGAAAAAGTTCACTTTTGCAATCAACTTTTTAGTTTTAACTATTGATAATGTTGTGTGTGTGTGTGTATATTTTTTTTTTTTTTTTTTTTTAAATTAATACTAAATTATTTTTGTTTCCAGGCCTCCAATGTAAATGTGGATCCATTTCAAGTTGCTATGAAAGTGAAAGACTCAGTTAAAAAAAGATTAAAGTCAGCTTACTGATTGTTACTTGAATGCTCTTGAGATGTGAAGATTAATTGGCCTTTCACCATCTCTTGAGTTCAGACTCCCCCCCCACAAAAAACCCCCAAAAAACACATTATACTGATGTGCTCTTCTCCTCACTCTGTTGGCATTTCTCTAACTACATCATTTCTCTCCTTTTTGGTGCTCTTAGTGTATCCACCCATACATGAGCTTTTGTACAAGTGTTAACCGGTATAGGCTCGGAGAATGAATTTTCTTCATATGCAAAACTCATCCTTTTTCATGAAACTTTAACGGGGCACAAATACATAATGGAAAAAGTACTGTCTGTAATGAATATAGCTGTTAAATTCTGATCTTTAGTGAAAACAAAGGTTAACATTTTTATTTTTAAAAGTAAGTATTATGCAACATTCTTTTTATTTTATTTTTTATTAATGGTAATCTTTCTTGACAGGAAGAAAATTTGAAAATAACTTCTCACCTTCTAACAGCCATGAGGAAATATATTGCTTTACTAATTGTATCAAAAATGCAAGCAATACTTACAGAATTTTGTAACTGTATTAGTTATAATGTCTGCATGAGAAATTTGGGATATATATATGAGAGAGAGAGAGAAAGATACCTGTTGTATATGTTTCTGAAATTATGATTATAAAAGGGGGGGGAAAAAATTCCCCAAAAAGCTAACACGTGGGTGGATGGTGCAGTGTATTAGCAATTTTTTTTTTTCTTTCTCTCTCCTATTTAGTAAAAAAAATATTCTGTTATATTAACATGAGGAATATTTGCTTATTAGTATCAGGTTATACCTCCTGCTATCATAGGTGAAGTATTTTCCTAGTAAATAGAGGAGATCAAGCTGTGTAACCTATAGATAGATAAAATCAATGTCTTACAGAAGAGTTCTTACGTTTAAAACAGGCTCTAAAACTTCACTGGAATGTTTGGAGTCTTGTATATAAAACTAAGCAGTATTATGTAAGGTAGGAAACGAATTGTGAAAACAAAATTAACAAATATAAGAATCAGCATTTTTTTTTTTTTTTTTTTCTGTTTTTAAATTTCTGTATTGTTTTTTTAAGTTACCTACACTAGTTTTGAATAAACTTTGCTTGTCACCCAATTGTTGTCCATGTCTCTGTAAAATGTTACAGGAAAATTGGATGATTGTAAGATAAAGATAATAGATGATAAAAGAAACCTGTAATAACAAGTGAATTGTGCAAATGCCTAAAGCATTTGATACAAAATATGCGCTCTTCTTATTGATGTATATACCTGTGTATTCCTCTGTCTGGATTGTGTGTGCTTATATGCACTACCCAATTTTCTTGAATAAATTCAGGGAACGTGTTTATCATTCTTCATAGAAAAAGAGAATTCCATCTAGATAGACATATTTTACTATCAGTTTAATTATATAAACCAAATTGGTCCTGACATTTTGCAATTTAAGAATAAAATGTGAACATGTATATGTGAAGATGAATTTTCTTTAAAATTTTTATGCTAATTCCTAGCTGGCTGTATTTACTGAACCCTTGGTCGATATTTGGCAATGTTCTCTGTCCATTGTGAATGCTTTTTTTTTTTTTTTAATTTCATCATACATTGGCTATAAAGACAAAATATTTTCTTCCCAAATTTAAAATGTTGTTTATTTGATTTTCAAAACTGAAAATTGAATTCTGTCAACTATTCATTATAATATGTACTTTTGATCTTGTGTAAATATTCCATGTAAACAAACACACACACATTTTAAATAATAAAAAAAAATAAATAAATAAAAATCAAAAAAAAAAAAAAATAAAAAATCTTGTTTTCCCTCAGGGCATAATGGATTCTGTCTTTGAAAAATAGAAAGGACAAGTCTCCACAAATATTTTCATTTAATTTTTAACTTTTTTTTTTTTTTTTTTTTGTGCTTTAATTTTTCTAAATTCTATTATTCCTTGATAGTAAATTAATCTTTTTTCCTTTTGAGGACGAGCATTAGAATTTACCTTTTTAAATAGGTTACATAATATAAAATGACAAGTTCTTATGGATAGAAAAAAAAAATGGTGCAATATAAAATGAACACTTTTCCAGACACTTCTACATTTATTATGGATTATTGATATCTGGATTTAAACAAGCATTAAATATTTTTGAAATCATAAATTTCATCAAAATTAATTTTCATTGCATTTTTATTTAAATAAAATCAGGAATTAATCTATGGAAATTAAAAATGTTGCTTACCAAAATATATGCTATATTATATGGCTTTAAACTGATTTTTCTTTTTTCTCACGAGAAAACATTTAGTTATGAGGACTGTGTAAAAGCAGTCTGCATAAATATGTTTTAAGCATGGTATATAGTGTGGGTGTGTTTATGTATAATTTATTTTTTATGTAAATGTTTCAGATATGTGAAACCTGTACTATCTCCCAAACTATTGTATGAAAAAAAAAAAAAAAAACATGAATGAATTTGCCATTAGCATCAATCCATTTTGCTAACATCTCCGTTGATCTCATTAAAAAACAAAAAAAACATAATTCCAACATTTGGCTGTGTTAAGTTAATATTTTTTATTATTCTATACTTGACTGTAGATTCATGTTAAATGGCTGCATTTGTTTCTAGATATAAACTCACCTCTGATTGTCATGAGAATAAATTTTGATAAGAACGATAATCACATATGTTGATAATTCATCAATTATTGAAAAACAAGTTCTGCTTTCCTCTTGAATTTAATGTTTAACAATTTAGATTTTTAACTTCACCATTTTGATAACTTTCCAGCATTAATTTTTGTCATCTGTACATCCCCCTGTGTTTACACTGGCATTTGAATAATAACAATTTAAATATATATATATATATATATATATATATATATATATATATATATATATATATATATATATAAAAAAGAAAATTTATCTTTGCTGACTCATTTCATCTACTGAGGAACTTATCAATGCAAATGCAAGGATTTTGTAACAATTATTTATATTCAAGAGCAAAGGTGTTAATTTTTCAAGATTTTTACATTTAAGAAACACTTTTGAATATTCATCAGGTCAGCTGAAAAGTCTAGGTAACTTATGGATGATGCTAAGTGATGTAATTAAATGTTTAATAAATAAGTGAGTAAAACATGTTCTTGAATTTTTTTTTTTTTTTTTTTTTTTTAATGCCTCTTGCAAAACTAAGTTTTTTGCTCATCTATAAATACTTGTTTGAAAATAAAATCTTTGAATTTGGCATAAAGGTCCCTCAGAGGATGAAACACATCAGCTAAGTTTTCCACTTGTCTTTATTCATATTGTCCTTTTACAGACATACTCTGAACAAAAATTTTTTACACATCCTTATATATATATATATATATATATATATACATACACACACACACACACACACGCCTCCTGACCTTTAAGGATTTCAATTAAGATTTTCACAAGTGATTTATTTTTTTTATAATTGAATATAAATTGTTACAGTGAATAAAAAGCATTCCTTTCCTTTCAGAATTTACCTAAAGTTTACACATTTGGAATTGATTAGAAGTGAAACAGGGTTTAGCAATAAATATTCTAAAATATAGGCTTGACAAAAGGAGATTGACAGATGATCTACCTTGCTTGAGATATGTCGGAGTGATGCTTTAAATTAAAGTGGCTTTTATCATAATCTGTTTTAAATCCAAACTAGAAGAGCAGACTTATACTAGACTGTAGTTTAAATATTGTTGATTTTTATACATATTTGAATCAGATTTTCTTTTTTCTTTTTATTAATGAATTTCTGATCTATAGCTTTACCACACAAATGCTAAATACAGAAGCCTTTGTTGTTTACCTTTCAGTTGTTGCTCATCCATATTGCCAATGTAAATAGAATTCTCAATTTATGCATTTACAAAAGCAATTTCCTTCCTGGGAAATGAATAGCTTAGAACTCACTGATAGTATAAGAGCGTTTTAAAATGTTTCAAGACTGAAAAACTCCTTATACTGAAGAAGTGCCTTACTTAAAGTAAAAAGCTTATAGAAAAAATTCATATGTAATCACAATATAAATGACAACATCTGATTTAGTAGCATCAGTTCTTTGTAAAGAGTAGTACCTTGAAAAGTTTAGATGACTGTACTCTCTACCCCCCTTTTTTTTTTTCCCTAAGGTAAATAATGCATTTATACTACCTTTTTATTTACTAGGATAATGAACAAATAGAAAACATATCCATCTAACATGTTTCACTTTTATTAAAGCTTCATATGTTAGATTGATAAAACGTTTCCTATTTTTCTTTATCCTATCATTCTGTCAGATTCCAATCCATATTTGATCTGTACTTGATCCCAGTTTATACATTTTTATTTATAAATTATCGAAAATAATGAAACAAAAAAAATATTGCAATGTTTACTGGTTGGTGGATATTGTTTAAATAAATTCAAGAGGAACTGGACATGTTTCAAGTCCAAGATAGTAAACCTGCTATGATTTCTATCTGTTGACAAAATTGTTGGTCTAACCCCATTAAAAGTCACAATTATTGGACAGATTTTGAGATATAAAGAATAAAAGATGACTATTGCTGCTTTGAATGAAGTCAGTTGTTTTTTTTTTTTTTGTTGGCTTATTTATTTTTAACTTCATTGCTGGATATTATCATTGTACATATCTTGATATTTGTGTATGAAATGATAAAAAAAAAATCTTTAAAGTGGATTTCTGAACCTCTTTTCATTGAACATAATTTATTTCCATTTTATCTGAAAGTGTAAAGGTAAGACAAACATTTGAAAGAAAATTGATTTATTTTATTTATTTTTTAATCCCCTTTTTATAGTGTATTAAAGGTAAACTATTTATTTTTAGGACATAAGGCAGGAAGATTCCTTACACTTTCTATGACAGATTTGGAAAGACAAAATTATCTATTTTAATAAAGCTATAAAAAAAAAAAAAGTAAAGGCACTAGAGAAATGAAGAAAAAGAAA